GTTTTTCTTCAGAAACAATAATACCAGAATACCAGAAGCACCACCCAAGGAAGACCATCAGCGCCACCAACACCAATAAACAGTGAAATCGCCTTTGTATATAAATCTAATGTATTGTATGTATTTTAATAAAACTAAGAAATATCACGAACTAATTTTTCATCATCCTAGGTCAGTGCTTATGTGGAGACTTAACCTCTCCCCCAAATTCTTAAACCTAACTCAACAGTTCTATTCGTTCTTTATCTACTATTTCGTTCCTTTTTCCGTTTCTTATAAAGTAACGAAATAGCCATACTTGAATTTCTATGGTAGAAATAGGGGTTTCAGGTCAAAGTTTCAAATGACAGAAAATTTTTTTTAAAAAATATTTTGTGAAAATATACATAAAATGCTAACCAAATTTTTTTATTTCATCAAAATATTCTAATTAGATCCAAAGTTATGGAATTTTAAAATCCGAGATCGACGTCAATAATGTAATCAAAATGCTCTATACCAGTCAATGCGTGGCATGGCACCAAAATAAGTGCTTTTCAGTCATATTTGAGTGACGTCATAAGCGGTATTTTCCCTTCATAATCGCTAGTACCAATTTTAAAATTGAAATCCGCACGTTATTGTCAGCTAAAATTTATTAAAATCGTAATAATTTGAATGTTAATATGTCAAATATTTATAATCTGGATGATACCTCAAGAAAGTTTTTTTTATATTTAGTCGAAATTTGGCAATTTTCAGTCATCAAAACAGATAAATCTCATTTTCTACGGGTCTACTTGTCCGATCACGTGGTATCAACAACCATAATAACCACAAAAATGTTATCTATCGTTTGATTGGATCTATATCAAAATCCCCAGGTAACTAAGGTGCAGATTCACCAATGAAGTGAGTCGTAGCAATGGAAAATCTCAGGTCAGAGCGGTATTTTCCCGCGAGCGTCTCATGTAAACAAACGGTAATTTCGCTTACATTTCGATAATTTTTTAGCCTGAATCTTTGCAGATATTGAGATTGATATTAAACTATTGCAATACAATTGCTAGTAATGCATTTACATAAAATAGTTATTCAGAATCGTAGATTGAAGTGGGCTATATTTCAGCCGCTGGCTGTCTGATTTCACGCTAAAGTCACGTGACCTGAAACCCCTAGTACAAACTGGAGAATTATTTTTAAAAGAAAATAAGATAATAAATGTAAATTGTAGAAAAGCATTTAGAATATTATTCTATTTTGGTCGAGGGCGCATTTCTGCAGATTTTGGTTTTAGAAAAGCATTTAGAATATTATTCTATTTTGGTCGAGGGCGCATTTCTGCAGATTTTGGTTTTTAATTTAAGTACTAAGACTGTCAGTGGTTTATTTTTTTCCCGTAAAATCGTGCGCCGAACTTGAAAGACGAGTTGCCAAAATTGGCAAAATGGTTGAATATTTCTGTACTTTCCGCCATTTTGAATCCGAAACGATGTACGGTAAAATAGTGGAAGTAGATATTATACGACACCATGTATTAAAATTTCTTCCAAGATGACAGTCTTGTCAAAATCACTGACTAAAGTGTGTCTGGGTAATCGCGCTGGCTTCATAGTAGAACATTCTGTTTACGGACAGGCTTCGTATTTTTGCCGAGTTAATTATACACCGTAGACGCGTATAATAGAACAGTATAGTAATATATACTTCATATTTAGTTACATATTTATGAATAAAATAAATAGATTGTTCATAGCGTGGCCAAGAAAATGTAACTTTACAAATATTTTCAACAAATTTTCTTACTAATAACGAAGTGGATATTTAGCCGTATACGGCAAAGTATCTACTTCCACTATTTTACCGTACAAACGATAGATAACATTTTTGTGGTTATTATGGTTGTTGATACCACATGATCGGACAAGTAGACCCGTAGAAAATGAGATTTATCTGTGATTGGCCATACTTAGTAACATGGACCAATAAAGACCAATCAAAGCTAGTGTTACAATCACGTTTAGGTTATCAAACAAAATGGCGTTGTAAATACGTATTCAGGTTATTAGAATGTCACAATTAAAGATTTTTAGTTTTTTTTTTATCAAACTCAAAGTTAAAAGAAAGACACAAGTTGAAAAAGACATTGAGGAAAAGGATAAAGAATATGAAAACAATAAAAGAAATAGGAAGTATCAGATTAAGTGGCAGATCGAATTTCCATGGCTGATTACCGGCAAAAAGAATCTCTGTTTTGTCGGATATGCAGATCATGTTATGGGCCACTAGGCATATCCCAAGCAAACATTCCTGCATCGTATGACCGATACAAACGTAATTTCTTAGTTAGAGCCTGGCTGAATAAATAACGTTTGAAACAGTGATGCATTATTCTAGTTTGTTTTTTGTAAAATATGTTACAAAATGTGGGCAGGCAACATTCTAGATGGGCAGGCAACTTTTATGGGTCACCTGCCCGACTGGCAGGTTAAGTTTGAAAATTATTTCAATCACTGCCCTATAGAGGTCACAATTTTTATCCGATTTTGTTGAAAATTGAAATGTAAGTTTATAACCCAAAGATCTCGGTTCCTTTCGATATTCGCGCATATCGGACCATAACTTCCTGAATTATGGCCCCTGATTGTACGAAAAATCCTGTTTTTAGCTTGTGGACCCTATAGAGGTCTTAATTTTTATCCGATTTAAAAAACCGTATTATTATATCACAGTTACACTCTAAGGAAGGCTGAGTTTGAATTTCGTGAAAATCGGCCCAAAATTGACAGACAAAATGGCTGCCGTTCGTTTTCAAATAGTGTAAAAATATGGTATATCAAGGTTGTGGACCCTATAGAGGTCACAATTTTTATCCGATTTTGTTGAAACTTGAAATGTAAGTTTATAACCTAAAGATCTCGGTTTCTTTCGATATTTGAGCATATCGAACTGTAACTTCCTGAATTATGGCCCCTGATTGTACGAAAAATCACGTTTTTAGCTTGTGGACCCTTATAGAGGTCATAATTTTTATCTGATTTAAAATAACGTATCATTATATCACCGTTACACCCTAAGGACGACTGAGTTCGAATTTCGTGAAAATCAGCCCAAAACTGACAGACAAAATGGCCGCCCTTCGTTCTCAAATAGCATAAAAATATGGTATATCAAGGCTGTGGACCCTATAGAGGTCACAATTTTAATCCGATTTTGTTGAAACTTGAAATGTAAGTTTATAACACAAAGATCTCGGTTCCTTTCGATATTTGTTCATATCGAAATTTAATTTCCTGAATTATGGCCCTTGATTGTAGGAAAAATCACTTTCTTTTTAGCTTGTTCTCTATCCATCTCTCGAAAATGTGGGCGTATCCTGCCTGGCAGCCGCTGGTTAATTTGTGAAATCTACTTCTATATGTCTTAATAATAATATTGTATTATATAAAAATAAAAACTTTTCAATTCTACCATAACAATTTACAGTTTTCCATATTTTATAGCAGAAAATGCTTTTTTGGGTACTGTACCCTTTGTTTTACAATTTCCTGAAGTTTGGTTCATAGAAAAAAAAAATTGATAAAAATAGAAAAATTTTGGTCGCCTTAATATTTTGTAACTGTTACATATGCATTAAGGCGACTATTATGTATATTTTTATACGCCCACATTTTCATGTGGACGTATTATGCCGTCGCCCCTGTCCGTCCGGACGGACGTCCGTCTGTCCACAATTGTTTGTGGACTCTCTACAGGTCACAATTCTTATCCGATTTTGACGAAACTTGAAATATAGGTTTATCCCCAAAAGATCTCGGCTGCTTTCGATATTGGCATGTATCGGATCGAAACTTCATGGATTATGGCCCCTGATTTTTAGCTTGTGGACCCTATAAAGGTCACAATTTTTATCCGATTTATTTGAAACTTGAAATGTAAGTTTATAACCTAAAGATCTCGGTTCCTTTCGATATTCGCGCATATCGGACCGTAACTTTCTGAATTATGGCCCCTGATTGTACGAAAAATCGCATTTTTAGCTTGTGGACCCTATAGAGGTCATAATTTTTACCCGATTTAAAAAACCGTATTATTATATCACCGTTACACCCTAAGGATGGCTGAGTTCGAATTTCGTGAAAATCGGACCAAAAGTGACAGACAAAGTGGCAGCCGTTCCTGAATTATGGCCCCTGATTGTGCGAAAAATAGCGTTTCTAGCTTGTGGACCCTATAGAGGTCATAATTTTTATCCGATTTAAAAAAACATATTATTATATCACCGTTACACCCTAATATACGCATTAAGGCGACTTTATGTATATTTTTATACGCCCATATTGAAATGTGGTCATATATTGTCGTCGCCCCCGTCCGTCCGGCCGTCCGTCCGGCGTCCACAATTGCTTGTGAACGCTCTAGAGGCTAAAGTTAATATCCGATTGACTTTAAATTTATATACAGTGTTTAAGGCCATGAGACGAAGAAGCCTATTGATTTTCAGCGATTTCCGATAATTACTGCCAGAGTTATGACCCTTGATCACTTCAAAAAATCTTGTGGACGCTCTAGAGGCCAAAGTTAATATCCGATTGACTTTAAATTTATACACAGTGTTTAAGGTCATGAGACGAAGAAGCCTATTGATTTTCAGCGATTTCCAATAATAACTGCCAGAGTTATGATCCTTGATCACTTCAAAAAATCTTGTGGACGCTCTAGAGGCCAAAGTTAATATCCGATTGACTTTAAATTTATACACAGTGTTTAAGGTCATGAGACAAAGAAGCCTATTGATTTTCAGCGATTTTCGATAATTACTGCCAGAATTATGGCCCTTGATCACTTCAAAAAATCTTGTGGACGCTCTAGAGGCCAAAGTTAATATCCGATTGACTTTAAATTTATACACAGTGTTTAAGGTCATGAGACGAAGAAGCCTATTGATTTTTAGCGATTTCCGATAATTACTGCCAGAGTTATGGCCCTTGATCACTTCAAAAAATCTTGTGGACGCTCTAAAGGCCAAAGTTAATATCCGATTGACTTTAAATTTATACACAGTGTTTAAGCTCATGAGACGAAGAATCCTATTGATTTTCAAAGAAATCTGATAATTACTGCCAAAGTTATGGCTCTTGATCACCTTGAAAAATCTTGTGGACGCCCTAGAGGCCAAAGTTAATATCTGATTGACTTCAGATTGCTACACTAGAGTTTAAGATCTTGAGGCGAACAAGTATATTGATTTTCAATGAATTTTTATGACTTGGAACAGCTAAATCCATGATACAGTATTAAAAGTTTTGTATACAAAACATTAGCATGGGGCAGAACTTTATAAAAACCAAACAAATTCTAATGGTTTTCTGAGTTGTTGCTCTTAATCAGATTTTAGTGTATTATAAATGTCTCATTACCGAAAAAAGTAAAAATATGCGACAACTCTTGTTGACTGCCCGGACAATTTAGCTGCTGTGGGCGTATGTTTTGTTGCCTGGCAACCTATCTTTTCATATTTTGTGACCCGCGTGGCAACATGAGTTGGAATGCAACAAAATCTAATATTGCAGTACAGATGAAGCAAGAGAAAATATTGATTTTGGTCGAAATTGAGATTTTCACAAAAATGAATCTATAAATGAGTCTATCGATCAAAATAGCAATAAACCATTTTAAAACACTTTTATTTGAGCATTTTACAAGAGTACCGTATTCATAAATCTTTCTTTTTTCTTAAAATTCTAGCGAAATTAGTTATTTTTCGACGCACGCAGCAGGAAGACCAGCCAATCGCCTGTGACCTGTAGAGAGTCCAAAAACAATTGTGGGTGATAAAAACTTGATTTTTCGTACAATCAGGGGCCATAATCCATGAAGTTTCGGTCCGATACATGCCAATATCGAAACCAACCGAGATCTTTTGGAGATAAACCTATATTTCAAGTTAAGTCAAAATCGGATAAGAATTGTGATCTGTAGAGTGTCAACATACAAATTATGGACGGACGGACAAGGGCGACGACAATATACATCCACATGAAAATGTAGGCGTATAAAAAGGGGATTTTTCGTACAATCAGGGGTCATAATTCAGGAAGTTATGATTTGATAGGCGCAAATATCGAAAGGAACCAAGATCTTTGGGTTATAAAACATGCATTTCAAGTTTGATCAAAATCGGATTAAAATTGTGACCTCTACAGGGTCCACAACCTTGACATACCATATTTTTACACTATTCGCGTACATTCTGTCAGTTTTGGTTCGATTTTCACTAATTTCGAACTCAACCTTCATTACGGTGTAACGGTGATATACTAAAACAATTTTTTTAAATTGGATAAAAATTGTGACCTCTGGAGGGACTACAAGCCAAAAACATAATTTTTGTACAATCAGGGCCATAATTCAGGAAGTTACAATAAGATATGTGCGAATATCGAAAGGAACCAAGATCTTTGAGTTATAAACATGCATTTCAAGTTTCATCAAAATCGGATCAAAATTGTGACAACTAGAGTGTCCACAAGCTAAAAACGTGATTTTTCGTACAATCAGGGGCCATAATCCATGAAGTTATGGTCCGATACATGCCAATATCGAATGGAATCGAGATCTTAGGGAGATAAACCTATAGTTCAAGTTTTGTTGAAATCGGATAAAAAATTATGACCTGTAGAGTGTCTACAAAAAAATTGTGGACGGACGGACGGACGGACAAACAGGGGTGACGGCATAATACGTCCACATGAAAATGTGGGCGTATAAAAAAGATGGTTTTGTGATACCCATGACTTCGTTTTTAACAACTTTTCCATTTGGGTGTGTAATGAAAGAAAGGATACAAAGCTCATAGTAGCTTTTTGGAGACAACAAGGAAGTACGTAATTCGCCTAACATTGTTGATGCATGTTTCAAGCCATCCATTAATTTTCCTTTGTCCTGTAAAATAAAAAGATAGTATACATTATATCTGGATTTGAAATATTGATGAGTCCTGCTCTATGTTACCTCCTAAACTGAAACTAAATAATGCTGTAAACACTGGACAATGAAGCGACAAATGACTTATTTTTCACTGACAATTCTACTTTATAAACTAAATATGTTCTTGATAAACAAGATCTCTAATCAACCAAAATGATAGGTTGCCAGGCAACGAAACATACGTCCACAGCAGCTAAATTGTCCGGGCAGTAAACAAAGAGTTGTCGCATGTTTTTAATTCTTTCGGTAATGAAACATTTATAATACACTAAAATCTGATTAAGAGTAATAACTCATTAAGTAATTATCAGAAAATCATTAGAATTTGTTTGGTTTTTATAAAGTTCTGCCCCATGCTAACGTTTAGTATACAAAACATTTAATATCATGGATTTAGCTGTTCAAGTTATCAAAATTCACTGAAAATCAATATACTTGTTCATCTCAAGACCTTAAACTCAAAGTGATCAAGGCCCATAACTTTGGCAGTAATCAATAGGATTCTTCGTCTCATGACCTTAAACACTGTGTATAAATTTAAAGTCAATCGGATATGAGTTTTAGCCTCTAGAGCAGGATCATACATTGATGGATTCACTGACCAGTTGTTAGTAAAATTTATATCTTCATTGAGCATAATACCCTGATAGAACACTGCATACACCGCGAAACAGTCATTGATAATACATTCTTCCGATAGAATGTCCAATGCTGAATTCCAATGACACGTGACATATTGCTTGGAATTAGGTCAATAAATCAGTTTTAAATAGCATTTACCGTAATGATTTTTTTTATTATATACACATTCTGACAAAGGTTTAATTTTTAAAATATTGTCGTTTTTACTATATTAAATTGTACTGAATTTTATTTTAAAGCAATTTCAATTATGGTTGTCACGTGACAATTGTGCCCTTTGTCTATCATCAAAATTGAATAAGAACTTTTGCAAGTTACTTGACTAGTTACATGATAGACAAAAAACTACAAATTGTGTTGTGAAGAAATGCCAAGATGCCGTATCAGTTTATTTTGGCTGCAGCATATTATGATACTACCAATAGTAAAAAGATAGGTTGCCAGGCAACGAAACATACGCCCACAGCAGCTAAATCTTCCGGGCAGTCAACAAGTGTTGTTGCACATTTTTACTTTTTTCAGTAATGAAACATTTATAATACACTAAAATCTGATTAAGAGTAACAACTAATGAAGTAATTATCAGAAAACCATTAGAATTTGTTTGGTTTTTATAAAGTTCTGCCCCATGCTAATGTTTAGTATACAACACTTTTAATATCATGATTTAGCTGTTCAAGTCATAAAAATTTACTTGTTCGTATTAAGATCTTAAACTCTGTGTATCAATCTGAAGTCAATCGGATGATAACTTTAGCCTCTAGAGTGTCACAAGATTTTTCAAAGTGATCAAGGGCCTTAACTTTGGCAGTAATTATCGGAAATCTTTGAAAATCAATAGGATTCTTCGTTTCATGACCTCAAACACTGTGTATAAATTTAAAGTCAATCAGATATTAACTTTAGCCTCTAGAGCATCCGCAAGATTTTTTGAAGTGATCAAGGGCCATAACTCTGGTAGTAATTATCAAAAATCGCTGAAAATAAATAGACTTCTTCGTCTCATGACCTTAAACACTGTGTATAAATTTAAAGTCAATCGGATATTTATTTTGGCCTCTAGAGCATCCACAAGATTTTTCAAAGTAATCAAGGGACATAACTCTGGCAGTAATTATCTGAAATCGCTGAAAATCAATAGGTTTCTTCGTCTCATGACCTTAAACACTGTGTATAAATTTAAAGTCAATCGGATATTAACATTGGCCGCTAGAGTGTCCACAAGATTTTTTGAAGTGATCAAGGGCCATAACTCTGGCAGTAATTATCGGAAATCGCTGAAAATCAATAGGCTTCTTTGTCTCATGACCTTAAACACTGTGTATAAATTTAAAGTCAATCAGATATAAACTTTAGCCTCTAGAGCGTCCACAATATTTTTTAAAGTGATCAAGGGCCATAACTCTGGCAGTAATTATCGGAAATTGATGAAATCAATAGGCTTCTTTGTCTCATGACTTTAAACACTGTGCTTAAATTTAATGTCAATCGGATATTAACTTTGGCCTCTAGAGTGTCCAGAAGCCATTGTGGACACTGGACCGATGGACGGACGCGACGACAATATACGACCACATTTCAATGTGAGCGTATAATAAAGGTAACTAAAACTGCTCAATTAGCGAGCTATCTATTCAATTAGCAACAATACAATAAGAGCAAATCCTAAACATAACTAGCAGTTGCCATGATATGCCAACATTTTGCAAGAGATGGACAGAGAACAAGCTCAAAAAAAGAAGCGATTTTTCGTACAATCAGGGCCATAATCTTGGAAAATACGATCCGATATGCATGAATATCTACATGAATCGAGATCTTCAGGATATAAACATATATTCTAAGTTTCATCAAAATCAGATAAAAATTGTGACCTCTAGAGGGTCCACAACCTTGTATTACATACTTTTACACTATTTGCGTACAAGGAGCAGCCATTTTGCCTGGCAGTTTCAATCTGATTTTTACGAAATTCAAACTCAACCATCATTATGGTGTAACAGTGATATATTAAAATAATTTTTAAAATTAGATAAAAATTGTGACGTCTAGAGGGTCCACAAGCTAAACACATGATTTTTTGTACAATCAGGGGCCAGGGGCCATAATCAAGAAAGTTATGGTCTGATATGTTTGAATAACTAAAGGAACCGAGACCTTTGGAACATAAAGATATATTTTATGTATCATCAAAATCTGATAAAACTTGTGACCTCTACAGGGTTCAGAGCCAGAAGCTAAACGTGATTTTTTGTACAATCAGGGGCAATGATCCAGGAAGTTATGGTCCTATATGTGCAAATATCGAAAGGAACCAAGATCTTTGGGATATAAAACATGCATTTCAAGTTTGATCAAAATCGGATTAAAATTGTGACCTCTACAGGGTCCACAACTATGATATACCATATTTTAAGTCTCATCTAAATCGGATAAAAATTATCCGATTTTGACGAAACTTGAAATATAGGTTTATCTCCAAAAGATCTCGGTTCTTTTGATATTGGCATGTATGGGATCGAAACTTCATGGATTATGGCTCCTGATTATTCAAAAAATCATGTTTTTAGCTTGTCCTAAAAGGAACCAAGATCTTTTGGAGATAAAGCTATATTTCAAGTTTCGTCAAAATTGGATAAGAATTGTGACCTGTAGAGTGTCCACAAACAAATTGTGAACGGACAGGAACAACGACAATGTACGTCCCCACGAAAATGTGGGCGCATAAAAAAGGCTGAATGACAACCCTTCCTACAGAATGATGATTCCGAAACCAGCTTTGCTTGAAACAATTTTAATTCTTTTTACAAGTAAACTGTAGTTCTAACCATTTTGGTCAATATTTAGAACTGATTTGCAATTTTGCCGGAGGAAATTGTTGAGTGAATGAGTATTACCACTAATTTGATAAGTTAGATCTGACGTTATGACATAATGTTGAAGGAGACTATAGCAAGTCTGCACACGTGGTGGTCAGTTAGATACAGTTAGAGTTCTGAGTCTCATGAGAGTAGGTCGTCTGTCATTATGCTACGTTTATATGCTTACATATCGTGTTGTGTATTTAGTTGCTTTCTATAATAATACAAGTAGTATTATCCTGATCCTGACTTTGTTATTTATTGGGACTATCATTATGAAGTATGAAATTGGGCCAGTCTGTCATGTCAAGCAACCGGCAGCACGCATTATAAATGAATGCAACATGTTGTCAGAAGTAAACAGGTTTACCTTAAAGTTGTGTTAGGACATTAAATTCGTTCATCAACTGAGGAGAGGATTGTAGCAGAGTTGTGTTTGGACATTAAATTCGTTCATCAACTAATAAATTAATTACGGCTTACCTACTAAATTGTTTGGACATTAAATTCGTTCATAAAGCTGACAAAATACAATGGCGAAATTGAGACAACCAGAAAAGTTCCAGTTTGACAAGCCCAATGAATGGCCAGTTTGGAAACAGTCATTTTGTCGTTATCGCAAAGGATGCAAATTACACCAAGAAGACAGAGATATTCAGGTCAGTGCTCTTATCTTCTGTATGGGTGAAACTGCTGAGAAAATTTTTAATATGTTCACATTCGACAAGAATGAAGACAAGGAAAATTATGATAAAGTGTTAAAGAAATTTGACAATTATTTTGTGCTGAAGAGAAACGTCATATTTGACAGAAGTGTTTTTAATACAATGACCCAAGAAGATGATGAAAGCATAGAGTTATTTATCAGGAGATTATATGAAGCCAGTGAACATTGTGATTTTGATGACGTTGACAGGAGAATTTTGGATAGACTAGTCGTTGGATTAAAGGATAAATCAGTGTCATTAAAACTGCAAATTGAGTCAAATACTTTAACTTTGGATAGAGCTATAGAAATCGCGCGAAATATGAACCTGGTGAAAACGCAAAATAAATTTGAAACGGAAGATTCTAGACTAGACATTAATTCGATGAGTAGACAAGGTCACAGAAGTCGAGACAGTTTCAAACGCTATAGCCCTCAGAACATGTCGTCACCATGGGTACCCCGTAAATACTTGTCACCGCAGAGGACATCAAAGCCAAAACATCTCTTTAATAAAGGATACAACAATAAACAATGTTTATATAAATTTAACCGTAATCGTGTACAATATGAACATAAAAGGAATTGGTATAGACACAACAACTGTTCATTGTGTAATAGACGTCATAGTTATAATCAAGCGCTGAAATAAACGGCCGGACACAGACAATGTCCGGGTGAATTGACCCCTTTTGACAGGCCAAATTGCCTTTCGTCCGGACATAATTGTCCAACCGTGTTTTTGT